AAAATTAATTTAGTGCCTTTCTTGTAAATTGTATAACCTTGCAAAGAAAGGTCATGTAGAGCTGGGAGATGTCTCATTTTAATCATAAATTTGCGCGCTACAATCCTGTCTGATTATAAAAGGTTTTTCTCATTTTTTGGAGTTTCTGAAAAACTGGTTTTCCAGAAGACCGGATCTTCGAAGGGCTAAGGGCAACTTCCATATTCATATTCGGAATCAGCAAGATCGATAACCTATAACCCACTAGATTTCGATTAAAAAGCGATTGGACACTTGGGAACATCCCTCGTTAGTCGAACATCACTCTCAGTCAGTTTCTATGATCAGCTATCCAGACTGATTACCCATACGGCTCATTCGTGAACCCTAAGATCATTTAGGGGTTCAGCAGATAACCTTTGCATTTTCAGCCCTTGCCAAATGTACTCTGTATATACCTATTCCGGTCGTCGTGACTTCAATATCCAAAGTATGTGGAAATCAAAATTGTGAATTAAACATTTAAAAATTTCTCTTTTCTTCTTTCTGTTTGTACACATTTTTTTCAATAGAATTTATGAATTTAAATTTTAAGTAATAAAAATTTGTAAGTTCGTGAAATTGTCCATATCGTCAAAATTACTCGCGAGTGATTGGTGATCCTTTTATTAAGAGTTGTATATTTTAAGTATACATTTATATTTTAATTTTATGTTTTCTTATTTTTGTTACTTATATCCTTGTGCAGCTGAAAAAACAAAAAGGTGAATGAAAAAAACGATTAGTCGCCGGGTTTTTTTTCTATTAATAGCAATTTGCAAAACTATTCACGATAAATCGCTGTTTATGAAGAAATAGCCCATTAATTGACGATTTTATTTTAAATCGTGACTAATCACGGATATGAAATTTATGTGATTTTGACGCCATGCGGCTCTTTTAAAATGTACAAGTCGCATTACATGTGCGCGACATCTTCTAATTTCTTTCTTTGTTCGTTCAGTATCCAATAAATAAGAGAAAAGTATGAATCCAACTTTTTTCTGCTTGAAGCTTTATTAGTGGATGACCTGAAAGTTATTTTCATTCAAAGTTTAAAAAAATAATAGAACGCAATTGAAAAGAAATAATTATAATGGCGTGTAATTTTTTTTTTATAGAGAAATTTCTATACCTATTGAACTGTTATATGTATTTGATTGAATTATTATTGGTTTGTTTGAAATAAGTTATTATTTAATTAGAATAACAAAGTTTCAATATTTGAAATCTCTTTTTTTTAAACAAATAATTCAATTATAAATACCGAGTTTACGTGTCTTGTTGTGTATTTACTGGTCTCGCAGAAGGTTGTAGAAGAAATTTTCTTTATTTAATATGGATAGCAGAAGAACATGTATTCTCTAGATTTGTTTTATACAATAGTTTCGTTACTGATGTAGTCTAAGAAGATATTTTTAAGAATTTTCTTTGATTTTGATCTATAAAAGGTTTCATTATGTCATTTAATCGAATCATCGTGTACAGAAAAAGACATAAGACATGACATACAGCCGTCGTATAGCGAAGAAGTCAGAAAAAAGAAGGCGGGAGTACAATCCATCCGGTTGCCATTTGATATCGGAGGTTGTCGTGAGCAGGGATCCCAGATCCAAAACACGAAAATCAGAAAAATCTCAGTAAAAGAAGTATAAAATCAGTAGACCTTGGGGAAAAAAAAGAAAAAAGTTCCAAAAATCAGAATTTTTCTGCCAAAATGAGAAGATCTGGAATCCCTGGTTGTGAGCCTATGATTATGTTAAAAATATATAATCACTATTTGCTATATGATGTAGAAAATATGACTTCAAGTCAAAAAACATTTTCTTCCAGTTAGCTTACGACAAGTACACCCTTTCTTACGATCAATCTCTGCACAATCGATATATCTCCTTTTCCTTCTTACATATATTTCTCAAAATTATTGTTATTATTATTATTTTTATTACTCTCATTAAACGACAGATAGAGGTTTATTCATGCGAATAATATCTATTTCATTGTTTGTCCTTTGTTCCATTTCTCTATTTTGATACATTCATTCATTTTATTTACTCCTACATATACATTTTTTTTACTAGTTCAGATGATTATGATGGTAGGAAGCCAATATGTTAGTGAGAAGAAGGATATGATATACACCTCTCTGTACGTGGAGATGTTTGTGTTGTATCAATCTTTCACTCGTATAAACATACATTACCTTGTTGTTTTCTTCTGACTGCTGTGTACTTATACTTTTTCTTGTCTCATTCGTTCGTTCTCATTTCTTTCTCTTTTTCGTAAAAATGTATATGATTGCAGGTAGATACGTATTTAAAAAAACGTCACACCCACCTGCCACAAATTATATACATTCTCTCTTCCTCTGTTATACACACACTCTTTTTCTCTTTCTCTCTCCCTCTCTCTCTATTTCTTCGTGTCATTGTCTTTGTAACATATTTTGTGACGGTAAGTAGCTGTTATATAGTATTTGATCTTAGACTTATTAAGATGCTGTTATCGTAGCTAATCTTAGTTTAATTCAGAATACTGAGACATAAAAGAAGAAAAAAAAAATAAAACAAATTTTCTTTTTTTAGTCTAATATAGTAGAAATAAAGTTGTTTATAGAATAAACTCCCACTTTCTGATTTTTGTTGTAAAATGTCTGATTATCGTACAAATTTCAAATGTGTCTATATCTTAACTCATACACACTTTGAATGTTGCCTCTAATGTTATTTAATCTTACGAAGCCAATTAAGATGGATTTGTATTTCTTTTAATGAGATACGAGACAGGTTTTTTTATCAAAAATAAATTGCAGTAATACATACAGGTGTTGATTGAAGAGAGATGACAGTTTTTCTTTAATAAATTGAAAAAAAAAGCATAAAGACAATCTATGTGTTTTATCTAATAATAATTTCTGTTGTTGTTGTTGTTTTTCTAGATTAATTTAAATATAACACCCTGGATTATTGGGTTTTGTAAATCTTTCTATTTCATTCATTTTAATTGTGCAATAAATAAAAAATGCATCGTACGAACAAAAAACCGGATCTAACTGGAACAACATCAACACCCGTTTCACCAACATCATCTACATCACCCACATCTATATCATCACCTATCGCCATCATAAAACTAAAGAATGGTAATTCTAAATATATTTCTGAACAACGTTCCAAAGCACGTGATATTGTAAACGGTTTACTTCGTAAAGATATCAAATTATTAGCCATTGATTTTGATAAAACATTTTTATCTATACATACCATGGGCTATTGGCAAGGCCAAGTTGAAAAATTGCTCGAATATGTTCGATCATCATTTTATCATTTAATACAAGAATTACTTGAAACACCATCATATTCACAAACATTACATGTATGCATTGTATCATTCTCATCACAAGAGCATTTAATCAGAAAATTACTACAATTAGCATTTAAAACATCGTAAGTAAAAGATTTTTATTATACTTTAAAAGTACGAACTATGAAAGAGATGCTATTCGAGGTGTTAACATGATAAGTTGCTCTATCATGTCAAATTATAATATTTAAAATTAGTAGTTGAGAAACTCCGATGAAAAAAAGATCAGTTAAAATTGTCCTATCGTAGAACAAATTTTTTCAAAAAAAATCTGTTTAATGTGTAAAATCATAATAGAAGATCAATGATCTTCTATTATGAAGAATGAAATTGAAGAATTATCGCTAAAACAGTGATCAGATTATTCGATTACTAGAAAGAGACATTACTTTTTAAAACTGAAAAATATCTAATATGTTTTTTCTTTTAGTAAAACTGATCGTATTCTAATTCGATGTAACACCGATGAATTTATGTCTTGTATGGGAACTGATTGTCAAGATGGTTCATCGTTTCTGGGAAAAGAATATCATATTACATCTGTAATTACTGAAATAGCTACAAAACGAAATAAAACAATACAACCACATGAAGTTCTTCTCCTAGATGATGATGTTGCTAACATTTTGACTGCTGAAGAATTTGGACATAAAGCATTAGAAATACGAGATGAAATTAATTTGGATATACTAAAAGATTTTGTTAATAATTATTTATAATTGTAAATATAACTGTAATATGTCTACCTCCACTTTTTGTACGTTGAGACATTACAGATTTTATCAAATTTTTTGCATTTACCGTGCAGGTTCTATTGGTTTTTGTTTTTCAAAACTTTTTTTTGTGCTTTCTCATTGTGCGCGCCACAAACAGTAGAAACCATTGGTTTTTTTCTTCTTCTTACTATAGAACATGTATAATGAACATTGTTTTAGTGTTTTATTGTTGTTTCTTTTTTTAGTGCAGGCACAACAACAAAACATACAATTATTTTTTAAAATATTCTAAATTACACTAAATAAAAACAATGGTTTACAATATTAAAAAGACAGGAATTGGTGAACTAGATGATTTCTTCCAATAGCATTGGTATTTTTTCGACACAGTATGTATCCAAGAGATGTCTAAATCATATCCCATCACTTAGTTTGCCAAAGTTTCCCACATGAAGTTTCTGATGTCTGTGTGGTCCTTAAAATTTCTAAAAAACTTCGATGCTTGGATTCAAAAAAAAAACGCATGAAATATTGTCAGACTTTTTTCAAATGCTCTCCACTATTTTGATATGACTAACTTTTGAATGGAAAAAGACACGGACCTGCGATTATTACTATTTGAAAGAGCAATCTGAGGGATACAGATCTATATGAAATTTAATTGGCCAGTCAGTGAGCGCGCTAGACATTTTGGTATTCTGACAACAATTCTTGTTTGATCTTAAAGTCAAAGATAGTCAGTCTATAAAGAAAATCAAGCTCTTTCGATCTGTATAAGGCTCACCTTGATAGTTTGTACCGTGCAGGTGTTATACGCATTTTCCTTGGAGCCTCGAAATCCACTCCATGACATTGGGTTAGTCTAAAACAGGTCAAAATAGGCATTTTCAACCTGAACCGATTGGTCATGTTGGTTTTCATTTTGAAAGCGATCTGAAGTCACTGAGTCAAGATTTTCAAAATGTAGGTTTTCGATGGCTTATGACGACTGTGGGTCTGCAGGGATGAAATTTTTGGAATATTGACTCAGTGATTCCAGATCGCTTTCAAAATGAAAACCAACATGACCAATCGGCTCACGAGGGAACCTTTCGAGATATCCTCTACCGACTCTAATGATTTCTACATGGATCGATAGCCCCTCAGTGAGGTAGTAAATACTCTAAAATGATTCGTATCCATGACTCATGCAGATCCGTTTTTCTGAAAAACCAGTTTTCCAAGAACTCTAAAAAATAACTAAAACCTTTTTAAATGAGGCATAATTATAGCCTACAAATTTCTGATTAAAATGAGACATCTCCCAGCTTTGCACGACCTTTCTTTGCAAAATTATAGAATTTACAAGAAAAGCTCTAAATGTTCATTGTCAGCTTAAAGCTAGAGAAATAAGAAATTAATTTACGACTTTTCTTGTAAATTCTCTAACTTTGCAAAGAAAGGTCGTGTAGAGCTTTTAAAAAAATCTGACAAAATCTGGATATATTCTTCATCGAAAAATATCGATTCTATTGGATGAAAATTATCTAGTTGACCTGCTCATATCCTTTGTTACTATGTAACATGAGTTTACGGGTATGTTCCATTGAATTATGAATATATATAAGCACTGATATGCTTGAGCTTTATCAAGTTTTACTATCGAAGTTTGAGAGACAATTTTAATACAAGGTTCGTATTCAACCTATGAAAGAAATATTAGAAAATTTTTTTTAAAATAGCTTTATGTTTCAGGATATCGAGGAGGGTGTACTATCATCATATGTATTTAAGTTCAAAAATCTACCATATAGGGTCTCTTTATCCCATAAAATACGAAATGAGGTATGACTAGAAGGTCATGATGTAGACCTTCTATTATTACATTCGACCATAGCACCAGTGTCTAGTGACCGACAAGGACGAATCTATTCATATGGTTAAACAGTCACATTAAAATGCAAGATTTTAATCAGAGCAGAAAGTGTTTTAAGTCACGATTAAAAAGTATAGGAAAAAATATGGTTATTTCAACATTTCATGTTTTAAATAGTTTAAGATTTAAATCTGACTTTAATTTTCTTTGAAATTCATTTGATATTCTAACAGAAAAAACGTCTTGGTCAGAAATGGGCGAAACAAGATTTTGTTGTCTCGCGGCGCTGGCGTCTTAGAACGTTAAGACTCATCCCTCGATTCTTGGTGGTTGAAACTTTTTAGGTAATACCTTAGAGGTTAAGATACGCTTTCCTTTAGTGTTCTCTTCTAACTTATCTGAACCCACTTAAGAATTTATATCTTGATCCTTTTATATTTTGTTAAATGATAAAATTAGAACATAGACAAACATAGTGAAAGTGAGCTGGACTTAGAAATGTTACCAGATTTTGAGCGAGAAATTAGCATTTTATTTTCTAGTTTCTTGTACAGATAGACTTTGTTGTCCAATATCTTCCCTCGTGAAATTTTTTTATACAGTGCAGTATCGAAAGATCACTTTTTATGTAAAATGATTGATCTTATGAAACCAAATGACAGAACATACCATACAAATATGTTTCAAGTTCTTAAAAATCATATTCTTGGTCAGAAGAAATTCGACGCGTTTATTTCGGATAAACCTTGAAGTTGGTGGAAAAATTCGTGTATATCTGATCGTGTTCCACAGTGCTACCATGTGGCGCCCTCTTCACGATAAAAATAACTTATATTCTACTATTTCACACGTTTAAATTTTACCAAATGCTGCTTTGGTTATCTTAGCGCGTGACGCTCACAGTGCTTAGTTTCGTTCCTAGAGGCTTCATTGTCCTTTCCAATTGAATAGATCGCGTTATCCAATAGAGAGGCATATTCTCATTACATAAGCCAATAATTATCGATGCGATATAGCGAGCAGCATGATAGGACAAAGACGAAACCACTTCACTGTAAAAGCTGACATCAGAAAAGCGAGTGATTATGCCAGCCACTTTTTTTTCTATGTTGTACATCAAGGAAATTCATCCACTTTCCTTGATGTAGAATACAGAAAAGTGGATGGCATGGTTACTCATTTTTCTGATGTCATGTTCCACAGTGTTATTCGATGTATAAAATACGCACGTCTCAGAATGAGATGCGATTGAAATCGCTGTTAATTAAGAGATATGAAGATTATCAACTCCGATTTTAATTGATCCTTCTAGTAGCGATGTACTGTTTTCTTACAAAAGTGAACTATCCTTACTTTCTTTGCATTATTTAGCTGTTTTCTAGAAATATATTAGGTCTAGTTCACTTTAAGATTTATCTGATTGAGTTCTTTCTCACTTCTTCTCAGCTAACGTTATATCTGGATGTTCTTTAAACTTTAGTCTATGCAGCCGATCAACCCTTCAAGTAACTGCTGACAGATAAATATATCAGACACCTGGTAAAAACTGCAACTCTGGAGCAGTGTTTTTAATGATTAGTGAGACAAGCAAGAGCATAATGGGTTTCCACTTTGAATAATGAATTTCTATTCTGTTTTCCACGCTGAGAAAAGTATATTCTACTTTGCTTGTGAGAATTTCCACTTTGTCTTTTTTTCATATTTTCTGCTTCAAAAAAGTAACCTATCGATAAGTGTTTGTTGAATAAATGTGAGCGAGAGAACTAGTATAATTTCTCTTTAATCCTCTAATTTTTATCACGATCTGACGTCGCTAGTGGCTTACGATTAACATCAACAGGATATTAGGAGGAAAAAAAATCTCTTCTAGCCGCTATTGGACAAAAATTTCAATTGTTCCCATTTTGTCCACTTTACGTTGGAATCTTCCTTCAATCAAAAGCTATTCAAAAAATAACTACAAACACTTCTTACTGTAACGAACAGCAATGCCTTGTTATTCTTTGTTTACTTGTTTTAGATCTCTTTGGTGTCTCTCACTCCGACATCTTTAATAATGCTCGATTATCTTATTGGACGTATTGGCTCGTCGTCAGTATCAAAAGCAACTGCTTGTGCTGCGACTCTATGTTCAAAAACTGTTAACTCTAAAATCTGTCAGCGGCGAATGAACTCAACATTATCAATTATTAAAAATTATCAGAAATTAGCTAAAACAAGTATGTTAATGATGTAGGAGAGTAACTCGTTGTCTCAAAGGTACAGAACCTAAATAAATCATATCATAAGAACTCTTAACTCGTTAAACTTCGATTAATATCAGACTTCAGTTGACATTAATCTAAGTTTAAGATATACTTAAGTTAAGCAAAAGAATATCACTCTATTTCAAGAACTGATTCACAAAATTTAAGAACAAACCATTGTCAACTGATCATCATCTACCAAAATGTAAACTCTTACGTAGTCGGGAGGGCAGCATATGAGTGCGTCTCATTTTAGTGCTTTCTTATTTTAGCATATCTTATTTGGATGCGTTTTCAATTACATCACTCATTCTTGAAAATATTTTGAAACTTTTGAACCGTTTTTGTCACCACTATTTGTTACTAATTCCTAGTGACTAGTACTATTTTATTTTAATTTTAAAAAGCCTGTGAACATTATTTTGACAAAAATGTAATTTTATTTTAAGAAGAAGAACTGTTGTGCACGTTTAGCAACAGCAAAATATTTTTCAACTGTCAAAATATAATCTAACGTTTGAGTTAGACCTCGTATAACTGAAATCATCTGTTATACGTTGTACCATTCTGTTGAGTCTTTGATATTTTAAATTTTTTCGATCTATATATATTCCAGCATGAAAACATTCAATATTATGTTGAACTAAGACATATTGTGCTTGAAGTGTTTCAGTCAATCCCCATCCAGTCGGTTGCCTTTATAGTAGGCGTAACAGTTTAAAATGTCATGATTCAACATCATTATTTGTTCGACTATCTTGACCAAAAATAGTCCATACTTCCCATTTAACCCTGTGTTTTTAAAACCCCCCCTGCCCATTTAACCAGGTGTTTGAAAAATAATGATAAAACGGTTGCATTTTATGTCGTATACATAGAGATGTCAACTACTTTATCATAGA